ACAATAATTGTTGCGACGTGCAAACCGATTTTAATATCCTTTCATATCATTATCTGTTGCGGCGTGCAACCCGATCCCAATATAAATTCATTTCAATATCGTTGCGGTATGCAACCCGTTCCCAATATCCCCTCAAGTCAAAGTTAACACTTACATCACTCCGCAACCAAATCAATCAACCAACCACGACCTTGCCTTTTAAACAAGCCTCCAAACCAACCGAATCTAATCAAATATCTATCAAACAATTCAAAATAAGCTTTAGAAACTACCCACGAATGAAAATGGTTCAATCTTTGATGAATTTGAAAAAGTCAATCCCGGGCTTGCTTGGTCAAAATTCGAGATCCAGAGCAAAATTCAATTATCCATTCACCCCCCAAGCCCGATTATGTGATTTGTTTCAAAATCCAACTTCAATTCGAGGTCTAAATCTCAATTTTGCAAAATCTCTAAATTCTACCAAAATTCCTAATTTCTACCATGGAAATCCTAGATTTGATGTGTTAAAAACTCATGGAAAATTAAAAGACAGTGGATTAGAGTTGCTTACCAAAGCATTTGGGAAGAAAAAGTTCTTGAAAAATCGCCTCTAGAGTGTTTGGGGGTTGAGAAATGGTGTAAAATGAGCTAAGTCCTGCTTTCTCCCTCTTTTACCCAACTGCAGGTGTCGTATTTGCGAACTCTTGTTCGTAAATACGATGCCCGCAAATGCTACACACATATCGCTAATGCGATTAGTGCATCAAATGCCCATAAGTCACATTGACTTGAGGTGATTTATTTGGTTACATCACTTCGAACATTTTCCTCGCAAATGCGAGGTCACCCAGCTCAGACCCTTGCTCGTAAATACGAACTCTTGTTCGCAAAGACCTCGCATTTGCGAGATTTGCAGCAGACACCGGTAACATGAAATGCACTAGCAGTTGCATAAGTGCCCAAACTCATTCGTAACACACCCGAAACTCACCCGAGCCCCTCTGGCTCCAAACCAAGCATGCACACAAGTGTAATAACATCCTACAAACTTGATCGCTACCTCAACTCATCCATATAACATCAAATAATATGATTCGATCATCAAAACTTATGATTTTCAACTTGAAAACTTATTTTCACAATTTTTTACATAGTGCCGAAATGCGCTCGGGTCACCACGGACCCCAACCAAAAGTGCGTACAAGTCTAAAAACATCATACAAACCTACCGGAATTGTCAAATCGTTGATCCGAGGTCATTTACCAAGAATATTGACCGTGGTCAACTCAAGTTCTATATTAAGCCTAAAATCACATTTTCTTCAAATTTTTACATAAAAACTTTCCGAAAAACGACACTGACTACACACGCAAATCAATAAACATCAAATGAAGCTAATAAATGTTTCGAAACACAGAAATAAAAGCTATTACTCAAAATGACCTATCGGATCATCACAGTTTTAGGCTTGACCTCTGTTTTGATTAGCTCAAATTCTGGCACTATAGTCGCGACACTGCTTAGCCAACATGGTCAGTGCGTGCTAACAGCGAAGTGAAAAATTAGTTCGGGATTTTAGCACATCTTACTGAGGTGCCAAATTGCGTATTCGTTCTCGTACATGTCAACTAACATTAATATACCAATTCATCTGATGCATTTCTAGAAAAAATTAAAGCCATTGTACCTCAATAGAACAAAATGCAACTCAAAGTACCACCTCCAATAACAAATGCATGTAACACAAATGGAAAAGGCAGTAAAATCATAGAGTATAAATTAGTTATCAATTAATCTCTCGGTAGTTAAGCTCGCGAGCTACACACCAAAATCACGACAAGTCCAATTGGCATGTAACTATAGAGTATAGACAAGGCACATTTCGTGTTTTGTTTTGATAGGGACTTTGTTTCTTTAGATTTCCCATGGTATAAATAGTACTCCCTCCGTCTCAGTTTATGTGGCTGACTTTGTACGAAGTTTAAAAAATAAAATAAGATTTTTGAAACTTATGGTCTAAACAAATCATAAATATTTATGTGACTATAAATCATTTTATTAAGGTTCAAGTAAAAGTTTTGCTCACTTTGAACTTTAACTTGGATTCAAAGATGTGTTTCTTTGTTTGTGTTCCGTCCCTTTTATGCTTCTTTCTTATTTAATTTTCATTGCTCGTGTGAGATTTATAAAAGGATTCAAGCTTTTATACTAGAGTTGGTATTTTGGTATCCTTTTCTTTCTTGGATTGAATTATTCTATCTTATATGTGTAATTTCACGTATTTTGGCAATCCGATCTGCTATAACTCTAAGACACAGAACTATAAAACAGTGGTTTAAAAGGTGTGGGCATAAGGCGAGATATTTTATATATGTCTCAGCAAGGCATAAGCCCCGAGATACAGGGCGTAAGCCCCATGGGTACTTAATTTTTAATATTTTATAAAATAATATAATTATAATAGATATNATATATGTACTCCATCCCCACAAAAGCATTAGTCAAAATAATCCATTATACGTTATTTACAAACACAAGTAACTTGAGTTGAAAAGAATAAAGTTTTATACATGGAAAAACAAAAAGGATGACTAACATGCAATTTGAACTTTGAACTTGTTGCTATGGAGGAGAATAGAGTTCTCTTTGTATTTGCAAAAAATAAATTGACTATTTGCTGTTGGGAGATAGTAGCGGACAAGATAAAGAATTGAAAAATACCATAAAAAAGGTCTTAACTATTATATTTAATGTTTTAATTCATTTTTAAAACTTTTGAGTAATTAGAAGTTGACTTTTGAGAATTTGGGTATTATATTAAGGACTTATTCAACAAATTTTATTGTAATTTGAAAACGTTTCTAGGGATTACGCCTCACTACAAAAAATGCGCCTCAACGTCCGGGCGTATGCTTCAAATTGCTGGGTGATATTCGACTTATTGTATGCATATTTTGATGTATATTTCCTCGCATTATGCTCATGTCTCATAGATTTCGGATATATAATATGATAATTTGTGCTAATTTGTGGTATTTCTATGTGGAGAAATCATTCGGATGTGATTTGGGACAAAAGTGCGCGAATTGGAGCGAAAACAGGAAGAAAATACAAAAGTGCACATTTGAGGGCCACAAGCAGCGTGGCGCTGCCTGTGGCGCACAAAACAGAAACTTGGGAAGCTGAGCGCCAGGGCCAGCGCCCCACGCTGCCCTGGACGCTCAAAACGTGAACATGTCCTATTTCGACTAGGACTCAGTTATTTTGACCCCAAGACGCCCCCAACTCATATAAAAGCCAACCTAAACCTATTTTGAGAGGGGGGGCGTGACTTTGAGAAAAAAAAATAAAAGTATGAAACACTCAGGAGCACGGATTTGATCAATTCTTCCATTCTTCCTCTAGAATTCATTGCTTTTATGTTTGAAAATATTATTTTTGATGATTGTATGAACATGAGTGGCTAAGAACCCTATTGTTCTGGGGTCATGGGTGCTATATGAATGTTTACGTTTGAAGTTTAAATTGATGAGTTTGATTTTATCATATCAGGTTGTTTATTTAATTCTGTTTTTAATTATTTTGCTGAGTAGCTAACAGTGAAATACTATCTATGAATCTAGAGTTGAACTCAAAAGTGAGAATTCTAGATTGCACATAGAATTAAATAGAGCAGGTTCTTGAACCCGGGCATCGGGGAATGGATCCGCAATTAGGATAAAAATATACCTAATTACCTTGCTTGGTTGAAATACAAGAAGTGTAAATGCATTCTTGTTAATCTTAATTCGATAGACATATAGGCATTAAATTAGCTTGAATAGGCGAATAATAACTCGACAGATTCTTATGAGTAATATCAACCCTGTCAATCAACAATCCAGATAATCAATTAGTCATTTGAAGCCAAGAACGCAACATGATTGTTAGCTAGCTTGTGATCCTAGAATGTCCTCTCTTACTGATTGTTATCCGAAATTGCTTAAGTGTTGTGGTTGATCTCTAGTTATTTCATTACTTGATAGTTGTTTAGGTAGTAAATTAGTCACTTACACATTTTGTGAGAAATCTCTTGAATCGATAAGTTGTTTGAGTTTGAATCAGTCCAAAAGTTAATCATAAGTCTTCGTGGGAATGATACTCTACTCACTACTCTATTACTTGATGACCAAGTATACTTGCGTGAGTGTGTTTGGTCGCAATAAGTTTTTGGCGCCGTTGCCGGGGACTTAGAAATTAGCTACTTGACTGAGTTAAGCTTTTATTAGTTATTTGTTCGAGCTTTAATTTTCAGTTTGCCTTGTTTGTGTTAACGTAAGCTCTTCTCTTGAATGTGGAGGAGTAGAAGCGCAAACAACCTCCTTCCTCTTGATCCTGAAATTGAACGAACACTTCATAAAGTGAGGAGGGAAGTCGAAGCTAGAACTAGAATAGAAAGAGAGTTGTACATCGTAGTTTAACCACAACCAATAAAGATGGCAGGTAATGAAGAGCGTCCGGTGATAGAATCCGCAAGGCCTAATCTTGCTAACATGACTCAGGCTATTGTGAAGCCTGATATCACGGGGTATTTTGAACTCAAACAGTACATGATACAACTGATTCAGTCCACAGGGCAATATGTGGGTCTATCTCATAAAGACTCACAGAGGCACATTCAGAACTTCCTGGAAATTACGGACATTTACAATTATCCGAACGTTTCTAAGGACTATGTCAGGCTGATACTGTTTCCCTTTTTACTGCTGGGGGAAGCTAAGGAATGGTTGCAAAAGAAGCCTGCGAACTCAATCCACACTTGGGATGATCTAGCAAGGAAATTCTTAATCAAGTTTTTCCCCACAAAAATACAAAGTCGCTAAGGAGCCAGATTCTTGGGTTCCAACAACGGGATGGCGAGACTCTTCGTCAAGCTTGGGAAAGATACAAGAAGTTACACAGAGACTGCCCGCATCATTGTCAAACTGATGAGATTTTGGGTCATACTTTCGTTGATAGGCTAGACGATATATCAAAGATGAATCTTGATTCATCTTGTGGGGGTAGTTGTATGGAGAGGCCGTATAATGAAATCCAGCTCCTGCTAAATAATTTTACTGCTAATTATCATAATTGGAAAGGATATGGGGAATCACAAATAGCAATTAAACAGAAAGCAGCTGATGTAATTGAGTTTGATGACTTCTCAACCATGAGAGCAGATATAGCAAAATTGGTAAATCAGATGAATAGAATGACAATGCACCAAACACAATAGATGCAACATATTCAACAGATGTCTACTTACTACGAATTATGTGGTGACAGTCACATGAGTGACATGTGCCCCATGAATCCTGAATCTATCTACTATGTGGGGCAACAGAGTAGAGGTCTGATGAACCAGCATGCACAATATAGGAACACTTACAATCCAAATTGGAAGAATCATCCTAACTTTTCATGGGGTGGAAATCAGCCGACTCAGAATCATTATAGGCCCCAAGGAAATTTTAATCAATCTCAGAAACCACCCCAGCAAGTAGAGGAGAGCACAAATGACTTGCTAAAGAAGCTGCTGCTTGACAACCAACAACTCTGGACCGATTTCAGAAATCTCGAGAGACAAATGGGGCAGTTAGCGTCAAATCAAAATACTAGACATGTAGGCGCTCTTCCCAGTGATAGAGAGAAGAACCCTCAAGTTAATGCAGTTACACTCAGAAACGGGATGGAATTAGAAGAAGTGCCAAAGAAGAGAAAGGACAAGACTATACCTGAGGGGGAGTTGATTCCTAAGGCAACACATAAGTCAAAGAAAGATGATGTAAGTTCAGAGCCATTGAATGCTGCAAGGCCACCACCACCTTTCCCCCAAAGATTGCAGAAGAAGAATGATGATCGCATGTTCAACAAATTTCTCTCTATGCTGAGCCATGTTCAATTGAATATGCCATTGGTAGATGTACTTTGCGAAATTCCAAAGTATGCTAAGTACATCAAGGATATAGTGGCTCACAAGAGGAGATTGTCTGAATTCGAACAGTCGCACTTACTGAGGAGTGCACTTCAGGGTCCAAAACAAGCTTCCTCAAAAGCTTAAGGATCCTGGCAGCTTCACCATCCCTATGCAAATTGGTAATATCGATGTGGGTCATGCTCTTTGTGATTTGGGGGCGAGCATAAATCTGATGCCCTTGTCCTTGTTCAAACAATTGGGTCTGGGAGCTCCAAGACCAACCATTGTGATATTGCAACTAGCTGATAGGTCCATAGCCTACCCTGAAGGAGTGATTGAAGATGTGTTACTGCAAATTGGAAAATTCATCTTCCCAGTAGATTTCATTATCCTAGATTATGAAGTTGATGAACAAGTTCCAATCATATTGGGATGACCTCTCTTGGCTACAGGTGATGCAATTATTAAAGTGAGAGAGGGGAAAATGATTATGAGGGTGGACAATGAGGAAGCAATTTTTAATGTCTACAAGGCGATCCAACTTCCCCGCCATTATGAGGAGCTCTCTATGATATCTATTGTGGAGGTGGATGAGCAACTTATTAACACGAGTGTATATCTAAACGACTCTCTAGAGAAATCACTCATGTTGTTCGATATCTTAGAGATTGATGATGAGGTTGAGGAGATGATGCATATCCTAGATGCATCATATGCTTACATGCAGGGATTAAACCCTTTTGAGCCCCTAAATAGGCCAAGTGGGCCCCCTTCAAAGCCGTCGATTGAAGAAGCTCCAAAATTGGAGCTTAAACCCATGCCCCCTCACCTTCAATATGATTATTTGGGTGGTTCTGAGATTTTACCTGTTATTGCTTCTTCTGACTTGTCTAAATTATAGGAAGAAAAGCTGTTGAGAGTGTTACGTGAGCACAAGCGAGCAAATGGGTGGACGATGTCTGACATTAAAGGCATTAGTCCAGCTTTCTGCGTGCATAAAATCTTCATGGAGGACGGACACAAGCTAAGTATAGAGCAACAACGCTGCCTAAATCCAATCTTGAAAGAGGTGGTAAGAAAAGAAGTGATTAAGTGGCTTGATGCAGGTATTGTATTTCCAATATCTGATAGCAAATGGGTAAGCTCCGTCCAATGTGTGCTTAAGAAAGGGGTGATGACTATAGTGGTTAATAAAAATAATGACCTGATTCCTATAAGAACTGTCACTGGGTAGAGAATTTGCATAGATTAAAGAAAATTGAACAATGCCACCCGAACGGACCATTTTCCCCTCCCCTTTATTGATAAAATGCTCGATTGATTAGCTGGACAAGAATACTATTGTTTCCTAGATGGCTATTCGGGTATAATCAAATTGCTATAGCCCCATAGGACCAATAGAAAACTACATTTATGTGTCCCTATGGCACGTATGCGTTTAAGAGAATGCTTTTTAGTCTTTGTAATACACCTGCGACTTTTCAAAGGTGTATGATGGCTATTTACTGACATGGTTGAAATATTTATGGAAGTATTCATGGATGATTTTTATGTGTTTGGGTATTCTTTTGATAATTGTTTAATGAACCTTGATAAAGTGCTTGCTAGGTGTGAAGAGACAAACTTGGTGCTAAACTGGGCAAAGTGTCATTTCATGGTACGTGAAGGTATAGTCTTGGGGCACAAGGTGTCCAAAAATGGTTTGCATGTGGACAAAGCAAAAGGTGGAAACGATTGAAAAATTACCCCCACCGACATCTGTCAAAGGCATTCGCAGTTTCTTGGGCTATGTAGGTTTTTATCGTCGTTTCATTAAAGATTTTTCAAAAATTTCTTCTCCTTTGTGAAGGCTCCTTGAGAAAGATATCCCTTTCAAGTTTGATGATGCCTGACTGAAAGCATTTGAGGAGTTGAAGGGAATATTGGTCACTGCACCAATTATCATTGCCCCGGATTGGGTGCAACCATTTGAGTTGATGTGCGATGCGAGTGACATAGCAATCAGAGTTGTTCTGGGGCAAAGCAACCATTTATTACGCGAGGAAAACTCTGAATCCAGCCAAGATGAACTACACTGTCACTGAAAAAGAGTTTCTTGCAGTGATGTGGGCATTTGACAAGTTTAGATCTTATCTAGTGGGAACCAAAGTCATCGTCTACACTGATCACTCAGCTGTAAGGTATTTGTTTGAAAAGAGAGACGCCAAGCCAAGGCTAATTCGATGGGTCCTCCTCTTGTAAGAATTTGATTTAGAGATCCGAGATCGAAAAGGAACAGAGAATCAAGTGGCTGATCACTTACCCAGATTAGAAAATCGGGNTTGTCCAGATTAGAAAATCGGAACCATGTAGCTGAAGGGGGTCGATCAAAGAAACATTTCCTGATGAGCAGTTATTAGCAATCACCTCGAGTGAAGCCCCGTGGTATGCAGATTATGTGAATTTTATTGCAAGTGGGGTGACGTCACCAGAATTGACACCCGATAATAGAAGAAGGTTTCTACATGATGTGAGGCTCTACATGTGGGATGAGCCATTCCTATATAATAAGTGCGCAGATCAGTTGGTACGAAGGTGTGTCCCTGAGGAGGAGATGAATGCAATATTGCATGACTGTCATGCTTCTCCGTATGGAAGTCACCATGGTGGGGACAGAACTGCCCAAAAAGTGTTGCAATCGGGTTTTTATTGGCTAAAATTGTTTAAGGATGCACACAACTTTGTTAAAAAGTGTGACATGTGCTAATAAACCGGAACAATCACGAAGAAGCACGAGATGCCCTTGCAAAATATTTTGGCAGTAGAGCTCTTTGATGTTTGGGGGATTGATTTCATGGGACCGTTCCCATACTCTAATAGTCACAGGTACATCTTGGTGGCAGTCGATTATGTGTCTAAGTGGGTGGAAGACATTGCTCTTCCTACTAATGATGCAAAGGTAGTGGTAAACTTTGTAAAGAAGCACATCTTCACACGCTTTGGGACTCCAAGGGTGTTGATAAGTGACGAAGGAACTCACTTCTGTAACAAATTGTTGAATAATGTTCTAGCAAAGTATGGAGTTAAGCACAAGGTTGTCATCGCCTATCACCCCCAAACGAGTGGTCAAGTGGAAATATCTAACAGAGAGGTAAAGCAGATTCTGGAGAAAACGGTAAGTGGAAATAAGAAGGACTGGGCCGGAAAGCTTGAAGCCGCATTATGGGCATATCGAACTGCATACAAGACCCCCATATGTACTTCTCTGTATAAGTTGATTTATGAGAAGGCGTGCCACTTTCCTATCGAGCTTGAACACAAAGCCTATTGGGTGATTAAAAAGCTAAATATTGATATGGAATTAGTCGCCGAGAAGAGGTTGTTACAACTCAACGAGCTTGATGAGTTTCGGTTGCACGCGTATGAAAATGCCAAATTGTATAAAGAAAAGACCAAGAGGTGGCATGACAAGCACATCCAACATCGCGAGTTTGAGCCTAGTCAAGAAGTTCTCTTGTTTAATTCGAGGTTGAAGCTTTTTCCCGGAAAGCTTAAGTCTCGATGGGCAGGTCCTTTTGTTGTGGTAAGTGTGAGGCCTCATGGAGCGGTGGAATTGCATGATACGAGCTCAAGTAGTACCTTCTTGGTAAATGGACAGAGAGTAAAACATTATTGGGGTGGTGACATTGCACGTCACAAGACCTCGGTGGACTTAGCCGATGCTTGAAAACATGTTGAGTCGTTCCGCGATGTTAAATCAGGCGCTTGTTGGGAGGCAACCCAATTTTTAATGTTTTCGTAGCTTAGTTTTTTGTTTTCTTTTAGTCAGAGTAGAATAGTTTTATTTTCTTTGTAGTTATAGAAATCATAGGCGGGAATGGTGTTGGGTGTGTATAATGTATGTATTGAATGCTCGGGTTAAGGGTTGTTTATATTTGAAAATAAATAAATATATATAGCGAACGAGCGCTCAGGCCTGCGCCCCATGCTGCCTGGGGCGCACTTTATAGAAGCATCACAACCCCCAGTGCCAAGCCCAGCGTGGGGCGCAGGGCTAGGGGGTCAGGTAAGGTGTAAAATTTTTATTTTGTTTCTTCTTTTTGTTTTTTAGACCCAACACCCATTAACCCGACCCAACTACCCATTTCTTCTCACATACTAACCCATAACTAATTAACCAAACCCAACCCCCACCTAAATTAAAATAACTCTAATCCAAAACCCCACCCACCCTCTCCCGTAACTCTCAAACGACCCCCACTCTGTCTCTCTTTCTCTCCGCTGCTCTCTCTATCCTTCTTTCTAAAATTCTTCAAATTTTGTTGCTAACCTTCATCTCAAGACTTAAAGGTATGTTCTACTTGTTATCCTTTTCCTTGTAATTTGTAATTTCTTAGTGTATTTTTAGTTTTCCTTGTCCAACAACCCCCAATCACCTAGGTCTCGTTGATATGTTTTGTTCTTATGGTGGGTGGATCTATTGTGCATGAAATTAGTTGCCAATATTGGTTGTGAAGTTGTATTTAAAATAGTAACTACAATTCCCTCTACTTCATGTCAATTTGGGAGGGCCACCTTGTTCCACCATTGTTGCAATAAGAGAAGCAAAATTGAGTACCTATCACCTTGTGATGAAACATTGGTGCACGTTGAACCGCTATTGTGAGTAGATTATACATAGCCTTCGGTTTTAAGTGTGGGATCACCTTTGCCTCTTACGATGACCTTGGGTGAATTTCTTAATTCATTCTCACCTTTGTGTTTGTTGTATGTAGGTTGTTATGGCTCGTGACAATGCCGCTAAAGGAAACTGGGTGGAAAAGTCCTCCGCCACTACTCCCCTTCCCAAAAAACGCAAGCAAGGTAAAGGTTCTTCCTGGCAAGCTAAGGGAAAACAGGTTGCTAGCGGGTCGACGAGGCCACCATGACCTTGGGTGGATCTAGTTCGAGAATACGCCATCAAATAGCATGATAACTTTGTGCCATATGGGAAATATGTCTCCGAAATGGGGATTAATGTGAAGGCCCTAGAAAAGAACTTTACGGAGGTGCTTGCCCAGTTGGTAGAAATGAAGATGGAGAAACTCATGGAATGCTCGAGCCCTGCGAATCTGAGCATGGTGCGCGAGCTATACACCAATTGGAACACAGACTTGTTCCGATCATGTGTCCAAGGGAAAGAGATACCACTGGACAGGAGATCCTTGTGTGCATTTTTGGGAGTTGATAGCCCTAATCCACTGAGGTTACAAAAGTTTGTCAAAAGTCCACGCTACCGGGCAATACGTCACACGCTTTATGGCGTTGATTCTAATGCAAAGTGGACGCAGACTAAGGGAAATGCCCACCTTGAGATGCTCCGTTTGACTTCAACAAGACGGCTAAGATATGGCAAAACTTCGTGCAGACTAGATTGATGCTCGTCGAGCATAACAGTGAATGCACTCGCGCTCGAGT